CCAGGCTCACAATAAATTTTCCATCTACTTCGGTATTCAGCAAATATGATATCAAGGAGAATAAATGATAGCATAAAAAAAATAAAAAAATAAAATAAGAATAGTAATAACAAAAAAAAAAAAAAAAAACACTAAATGAAAATAACATACATAATAAAACACAAAAAAAGATAATCCAGCAAGTAGCTCAATGCAATAAGTCTCTTGGCCAGCGCCTCAGCAGTCTTTTGGGCGGATTATATAGATTTGTGGCAGTAGATAGAGCTTGAGTAAGTGGATTGGAATTTAGAGTCAGTCTGTCATGAAAATTAAAGCGATCTGTGGCAGTTGCCACGATGAAAGGAGTGATAAGGTCAGTGTGTAACGTAAGGTTTGAAACATAAAAAGGTGCATCAACAAATTTCCGAAGGAAAAATGATTAGGTAATTATTTCACCTCCGTCTAAATGTAAATATTTTGGCATTACATATCTAAACAGTGAGGCTGATCTTCCATTTACTGAAGTACTGCTGTAGATCGCTGAAGTGAGTTTGAAGGGTCTTCATGCTGAGAAAAGACTGTCGTGTCGTCCGCGAACATAGCTATAGAGATAAATGGGTACTGTATGATGTCATGCAGATAAAAGTTAAAGAGGATGGGCGAACTGAACTTTGTTGAGTTTCGGCGTATTGGGCTTATGTTTGAACTGATATTATTTATTTTGAGTGTGAATGTCTGTTCATTGAGAAAGGAATACAGAATATCGTATAGGCTCTAGCGGATCGAGGATTTAATTTGGAGGGAGGGGCTTCAACCCGAGACATTTTTTCTCTCTCTCTCTCCCTAATATATATATATATATATATATATATATATATATATATATATATATATATATATATATATATAAAACAATAATTACATTTTAAAAAATAAAAAAACTAACTACCTATATGAAATGGTGTTTAAGTGATTCTTGAAGTCCTATTAAATGTAATTATACGAACAATAATACTTTAAGAGATAGTGTTTTGATATTTTTTTTTTCATAAAACATAGTATGTTTTACCATTTTGCGGGGGGGGAACTTGAGGACAGACTGAAAGCCCCCCCCCCCTCTCCCCTCTAGATACGCCTGTGCGTATAGGTATTTTGGAGTATTAACTTGCTCGATTTTATACAGAAGACCATCATGATGATGAAAAAAGCAACGATATTATGATATCATTGTGTTGTATGATACAGTGGTATAGTTTGTAATTTTTGTTTAATTTATATATATGTGGTTTTAAACAGTAGGATATTTTTTAAAAAAACATACCCAATAAAATAAATAAAGTAAATTAACACAGTTTTCATTGAAAATAAATATAAATTTTCTAAAATAATATTCTTGAAAAAATATAAATAATTTTCAATAATAACAACCTATAGAATAAGCTCTATAATAATTTTTTTTTTTAAACCTTAAAAAATGTTCTAGTTTTATCTAATCAGTTTATTAGTGGGTGTATATTTTCAGTAATGTCATGTAATTTAAAATTTATTTGGTTTTAGGCCAATTATTTTTAGCGATATAAACTAACATGGTCTGTATACACTTATATTTTGCCTTACCTTTATCCATGGCATTCCTATTAGCTAACGCGTGAATGGTAAGCGTTTCTCTATTGTCCTTTAAATTGTATGATTTGACCTATTTGAAAATCAAATCATTACCAAACGAATCATGGTAAAAGAAAACTTATTTTTTCCTTTTCTAGTCACATCCTTCATAACTTATTTTTTCCGTTCCTCAAATGTGTATATCCTATTTTTTTTTTTTTTTTTTTGTGAAAAGAATTCTACAGCACCTCAAAAGCTGGCCAATTGGGCCAATACCCACTCTGTCCATTGGAAATCTGATCGAAATAAGTATAATTGAAGTTTAAAATTAATAAAAGTCAATCAATCCTTTTTGTTTTCTGTAAATAAAGCCATGGATTTCAAATATTAACATCATAATACTTGTATTGTTGTTTTTTAAAAGTTTATATAATAGCTTTAAATGGAGAAGAAATTCAGCTCACTCGGAACACTTAGCTCCTTCAGAAGCCGTCCATTACGAGAACAACTCAGGTCGATACAGCCAATAAGATGAAAGGGGTGGGTTCCGTCGACCAATAGAAAGAGATTCTCCCCTCCCCCCCTGGCTACTCTTACCTCCGCTTTCATTTCCCCTTGCTATTTACTATATTGATATAATTCAAAAGATAGTTTCAACAATATTGAACCTTTTGTCGGAGACCAACAAAGGAAGAGACTGGTTATATTTAATGAAACCGTTGAAGGTAACACAGCTTAAAACTTTGAAAAGGCAACAAAAATTAATTTGCATTCTGATAAGCCTTTGTTGGCATATACCAATTTACCATTGAAATGAGAATTGAATGCATAAAACTATTAAAGTTGGTCTATATCTCTTACTAGTCGGGGACCCCGTGCAGAAAAGGTGTCTTATTTTAAACAAATTCTCATATTTAAACAACTATACCCTTGAAGAGCTGAAAACTTAGAAGAATATACATAATGGCGATAAACGAAAAAAAAAAATTAAATTAAATTTTCGGTCTTTTTTTTTCTGGTCATGAAGTGAAATTTTAACTTTAATTTTTAATCGGTTTCGGTGTGAAAGGAATATTTATTTTTTTAGCTGTTATTTCGGGACGAAAACGTTTTCTCTTGCAACTTTTTAAGTAAAGGTTTCGCAGAACTTTTATTTTCAAAAAACTTATTAAAAACTTCTGTTCATTTTTCTAAAACGTCCATCTAAAAAATTACTTTTTGTTCTGAGCTACTTAGACAAAAGACCTATTACAATCAAGTAGTTTATTCTTATAATTATCAAGTAATTTATTTTATTTTATAGTTTTATTTATCAAGTAATTTATTTTATATATTCCCTTATGTAACTTCATATTCCTTTTCTCTGTTTTACATTTTATTATATGATTATCTTAATCTTGATTTTATTTTATGACTTTCTCTGTTTTACATTTTATTCTGTGATTATCTCACTTCCTTTTAGCATACTATTGCATCATATTTTTGTCGCTATTACGACTGTCACCCCATTTATTTTTTCTCAACACTTACGTTTTTCATCTCATAAATTCCATTAATTTTCGTTGTTAATTAATTATATGTTACCTTACTTTGATTATGTTTATTTCATAAATCCCTACTTTGTTGCCGTTATCATTTATCTCATAGTTCTCTGTTGTTGTTATTATTCTACCTACTTTATTTTACTTTAAGTTTATTCTGCCTACATTTTTTAGACTATTTTTTTTTTTAATTTATTATTTAATGTTTATAGTTTATTATATATCTATTGTTATCTGTTTTTTTCTTAGCCCTGAACTTTGGACCGAAACGTCGGGAAAAATAAAAATAAATATACTTATTTATTTTAACTGATCACCCCAACTATTCTTCTCTTCAATTATTCACTGAAGTCAATCATCAATCCACAATTTATTTTATACATTAAAGTATTACTGTAATATAAGTACTGCTTATTTTTCGTTTTAACATTTTTTAACAACTTAAATAAATAAAAGTTATAAGCTTTTACCATACACCTAGAACTTAATTACAAAAAAGTTCCTTCGAACTTTTATTTTTAAGGATATTCCCCCCCCCTTAAAAATGTCACAGAAACTGTTAAAATAGAACTTCTTAAAAAAGGTTCACCATCTGATTTTTTTTTTTGTTGATTTATAATTTAAAACGTCGCTTCCTGGAGAAAACGTTCCTATTTTAAGAATATCAAAATCATGCATCAAGTGAGTAACAAACGTTATATTTATTCAGGACTATGTTACCAAATCGATCGCCGAAATACGAACACGTTAACCAACTTTGCCTTGAAGCCCAAACAGACATACTTTAAACGATTCCAGCAGTGGGTTGAGGAATGTATTTTGCAGTGCTAAACTTTTTTTATTTATTTATTTTTATATTATAATAATTACAGGAACAGTAATACTTTTAGGGATAAAATGTACATATTCTTATTTGAAACATGCTTACATTTGGTTGCTGAAGTACATGCGAATAGATAACATATTGCGGTTGATTATGTGCTTAGCTCAGATCACTCATAGCAACATATATAGACCAACGAAAAAATATGGCAGGCGCCTCCTTGATTCCGCTATTGCACCAGTCCAAAGTTAAAACATCAATAACTAGGTGCTATATAACCAATAAAAATTCAAGTCAGCCCAAAAACTGCCTAAAAATAATTATTTGACACTAAATAAATTTGCAAAATATAAGACTTATCTAAAAATTGTGTAAATTTTAAAGCATAAAAATGCAGGTCTGCCAACTACCAGCTTGTGCGGCAGAAACTGACGCTGAGCGTAGTAAAATATGTAAAGTTTCAGATGAGAAAAAACAAATTTTTTCAGTTATTTATTTCTAACTCCAAAAAGGTGGCTTTAACTTAATGGTTCCTGCTTCAAAACGTGCTATTCATTAAAAATAATTTACTTTATCATTCTCGTTTTGTTAAAAACCAGGCCTGTAAATATACACCGTTTCGGGACTTAATTCGAATAAATTTTGAAAAGCATAAGATAGTTTTGATAGCTTTATTTGACGTGAATTAGAATACTACTAGTTTCGCACTATCCTTACAGACAAAAAATATTCGAACTTTTTCAGTTATTAATTTAAAACTCAAGGGCTCGCTAAACCTTTTTTTATTATTATTATTGTTAATATCTAATAATGGTGCTGGCGCTTATTTGCCAGGAACATAGTTACGAAACATTGAATGCAATGTATTAACCTATATTTTTTTAAATACACAATGAAAACATTAACTATTGGTTTAGTAATAAATCATTCTTCAACTATACTACCAGGGCGCATATGCGTTTCTTATTATGCGGTTTAGTGAAAAATAAGAGTCGACAGTTTCAAGAAGTTTTAACTAGAAAAGAAAGTAATAACCTATTTTTTTTTTCCAGATGTGGCAGGAAATTGAATATTTTTTGGACGAGTCGACGGATGGAGCGACCAACTCTGGCGGCAGTTTTCAAGAGTTGTCTGGTGAAGAATTTTTGGACTTGGACGTGCTACTTAACATAGCAGCTGAAGAGCATGCAGACTCATCTCCTCCAAGCCCGGAACAGGGTGAAGCAGAAGAGAGCAGAAAAATGTGCGATCGGAACCGTCAAGAAAAAATATTTAAGAAAGCTAACAGTCATGGGTGCATGCATCCAGGCTGTGGCAAAGTATACACAAAGTCATCTCACCTGAAAGCACATCTCCGGACTCATACAGGAGAAAAGCCCTACCAGTGTAACTGGAAGGAATGTGGATGGAAGTTTGCTCGGTCAGATGAACTGACGCGGCACTACCGCAAGCACACTGGCGTCAGGCCCTTCCATTGCTGCCTCTGTGACAGAGCCTTTTCCAGGTCTGACCATTTATCACTTCATATGAAGAGGCACATGTCTACTTAGCCATATTGACAATCAGGTCACAGTAGCCTTCGAGATTTCACCTCAGCAAAATTATGTAACATGTTTTCTTAATAAATAACGAATCCCAAATACAGACATTGACATTTTTGTTGCACTATCCATTAGGTTTCTGAGGTGTCTAATACTGTAAAGAAAAATGGTTCCCTAATTAAAAAAAAAATTAAAGGCTAAATCCCGTCTTTTATTCACCAAATATCACCATTATATTTACTACTAGATGAAGATAAAAGCATTAGTATATTTTATTTATCTTTACTAATGATATACCTGGTCATTGTTGGTGAAAACAAATTTTCTTTCAATTTGGCATAAAACTAGTAAATTGGGCACCCAGAATAACATGATGATTGCCATATTTTTTTCTATTTTTAAATGAATTCACTAGAACAGTATACCTTTTAAAATTCGTATTATAAATAGTGAGTTATGCCAATAATTATTAGGTGTTTTTTTGTTATACTACTAAAAACAATTTTCATAACTCTTCCTAATAATATCATTAGAAATATGTTCGTTGTTATAAGTGGTTTCTTTGAAAAGCTTAATTTTCACTCATCAAGAACCATAGGCAAAGATTTCGAGGGAAAGGGCGATCGCCCCCTCTCCCCAATAAAAATAGAGAGGTAGCAAGAATACTTCCCCCCAATATTTCGAAGAACAAAATTTAAAAAAAAATCAAAATCAATAACGTTTAATCTACATGAATGAATATAATATTTAAACTGAAATCAATTAAAAAATAGGAAAAGTTGACTAAATGTCTATGCTAAGGCTTAGAAGTATGTACGCAAGTATTTTATCACGTTGTTCCTAATATTGAAATTTCAATTTATAATAAAAAATATTGTTTTTATATATATATATATATATATATATATATATATATATATATATATATATATATTGTTTAGTTTATATTGTACGTATGCCTCGGTATTATGTTATTCATTTTAAAATAACTATGTTGATTATTTTAATCAACACTCATAAGTTTTATACATAATATAAACTCCCGAGACATATTCTTGGGTGCCCAGAAAGGGGGTTTCTTGGAGCAATTTTTTTGTGGGAGGAGGGCACATTTTGACGAGGTTTTGAATTATTGAGGGGGGTACATTTCAACAAGATCATGAATTTTCGAAATAAAAAGTTTCAAATCAGGGAAGGTACTTATGAACAGTCAGGTCGGTATGGACTGCTATCTGCCAATGTTTATAACCATACCACTGATAATTCTGACAAGGCACTGATAATCCCTATCTTCGTATGAAATTTAAAAACACAAAAACAAATTTAATAATCACAAACACTTTCATTTTTGAAAATATATATGAAATAGACAAAGACAAATGTCATATTTATCGAAGTTGATATAGATGTAAGAATAAGAAGACATTTTTGAGATTTGAAATTGTAAAAGGCAAAAACGAAGATTATAATAATATAACAAAAAGAAATATAAATAACAAAACACTTCGATTTCACAACATATATACATATAAAACACTTTCATTTTACGCATACAACGCATATATGTCCATACTTTATTTTGGCAGACAAAATAGCTTAATGCTATTTAAAATAACGAGGAATGGGTCCTCTTCTTGGTGAGCCTGCCGCCACAAAAATTCACATAAATATGAATCGAGCTATTGCCTCGCAGTTCCTCGATGTTTCTTATTTCTCCACTTAGCTGAGCCCCATAAACGTTCTATGTGTTGAGTATGGACCCCACTTGATGGGTCAACAAAGTTATACCAGTGATTCACCTGCAAATGATGATAGTTTGCTTCATTCAGTTGTTGGAAATTGTATCCTTTCTAACAGTCAGAATAAATGGTGCTTCCCTCTTATATTATTATATATCCTGTATTATTTTTAATACATTCTAATAAATTTCTAGTTAAAATCTAATAAAGTGGCTTAAAAGGTAATCTTTGACCCCTCTAGCCACGTTCCTTTCCTTATAGATACGTTTTTGTTTTAAGTCCTACGAAAGCATCTCCATTTCGTCTTCCCGTCGTACTTCATTTCATGACCTTCACAATATTTCACGTTTGCAATTATCCTGGCGTCTTGAAAATATTTGATAGCCTCTTCTTCCGAAGACGATAATCCCCACTATGCAATAACATCCATTTCAACCACAAACATTCGAACAAAAATAACCAATGCAATAACGCTCACGCAACAGCTTACACAAGATAAAAAGGCAGGTTATGTGAAATAAGATAAAGTAAGAAGGTGATGTAAGATAAGATAAAAAGGGAGGTTTACTGCCGACCAGATTGTTCACAAGTACCCCAGGGAACAATAGGAAAATATGAAACAGGCCGCAGTAGTGTATTTGTATATGGTCGTCTATTTTAAAATTCTACTTTTGCTGGTACTTTTAAGAAGAGAAGAGTAATAAATATCCTGGGAGGGAAGAAATTCATGAGTCATTGACCTTGGTGGGGATTGGCCATTGACCCCTGGTTATCAACCAATTCATGAATGTGTGCCCATTATTTCTAATATGTAAAACGTATTTATCATAAAACACTCTTTATATAACAATAATTTATACGGCCTACTATTATTAATCTCATTAAACCAGTTATTTCAGAATGACACATGTGTCATTTTTAGCTGTTTTATTGTAGCATAAGTTATGTACATATTGTTTGATTATATCATATATTTTTTGTAGATTTTTATCGTTTAAAATTTTAGGTATAATAGTAATCTGATTTTTTTATTTTTTCATAACTGTAAAAATATCTCCAGCCGTTTCTGAAATAATCAATTCAGTTACTTTATGTCATCACCAAACCGTATATTAACCAGAAACTGAGTGTTCCTGTAATTATGACATAATAAATATATATTTATACGTACATAGGCCTTAATAATAATAATATGTACTTTCTTTTGTATTTGTTCATTATTGTCATTCCAAGGGGGCTTAGTCACAGAATAAAGTTTATTATTCTAAAAAAACAAAATAATAATAATAAAAGTTAGGACAATAAACCGAAAAAAATCTGGTGTGTCCGCTCACACGACTTTCCTGACTACTTCAGAAAAGTTTTGATATCTTTTCATATGTCCATTAACAAAAAAAAAAAAAATTAGATTTATTTTCCTGCAAATTGATCAAAGAAAAGATTTGAGTACGATTTCTTTGATAAACTAAAGCAATGTAAACCGGCTTGTTGTGTAGAGCAGTGTAAACATTTCAATACCCTCTAATATTGCTAATCAAAAACTTTTTAACATAGCCTAATTTTGTCACACAATAATTTCTGTTTAAAGTAGAGGAAATAGTGAAGCTTGTGTGATGCGGGCAACAAATTTTCTTACTTTCACTTACTTTTCTTTTTTCTCTCTTATTCACTGCTTTCTGACCCCAGGATATGAACTCATTGTCTTACATACGAAATCGAATAGTTGTAAATTCGTTAATAGTTTTATAGGGGATTTCATTAACTTTAAAAAAGAAAAAGCTGAACGATGTTTTTGAGGGGGCTCAGAGGCTCTGAAACGTACGGATCCATCGAAAACCGCATATCGGAAATTTGACCCGATCGCCATACTTTCTTTACCCAGTATAGGTAGAAAAGTACTAAATTAAAACATGTGAACAAAATATAATACGCTATATCATCGCTAATACTGGTTCGATTTCGATGATTTTTTTATTGTTTTGTTGGTAATTTAATTACCTTTCAAAACTTTAATTATAAATTTTACCATAGAATATATACTTAGCGGGTTAGGCCCCAAAACATTTTTCCTTTATTTATAATTTTTTTCCCTGAATTTTCTCGAGAATTTAGTACATGTACGAAAATTGTAAGGACAATTATTAGAAAATTATAGGAAAGTTTCATCAAAATCGTTAGGACCGTTTTTGAGCAAGTCTATAGAAAAATATTTTTCCTACTTATTGCGCAGCCGCTATTGCACAGGGAGCACCCAATTTGTGTCACAGACATCAGTAGTCAAAACCCTACAAAATAAAAAAAAATCAATAAAATCGGTTCATTAGTTCTCGAGAAAATCTTGGCACAGACAGACCAACGGCTAAAAATGTGTTTTTCGGACTCAGGAGGCTCTGAAACGTATAGATCCGTCAAAAATCGCAAATGCAAATTTGACCCGATCGCAATACTTTCCTTACCTAGTATAGGTAGGAAAGTAAATAGAGCAAAGAATCAAAAAGGTAGGGTAATTACGATTTTCAATTACGTTTTTGGGTTTGTAATTTCCGGCATTGGCACTAGAAGTCCTTTGCTCAAGAAGGAAAAAAAAAATTTCACGATCGCAAAAAGGTTCCCTTAGTATATATTTCATATATAGGTAAGAAAGTAAAAATCAGAAACGGTGATGAATGTTTTCGCAAGTTTTGTGTATTAGGATGATCTATGTTGACATTAACAACACTTATTGAAAATGAGCCATGTCTTGAGAAATATTTTTATATCAGGAACTATTAGTCATGCAGATGTTAATTAGGGCTCAAATAAAAGATAATCAAATGCACATTTTATTTAATACACCCCATCAACAAGAAGGAAATATGTTCTCGAGAATAGACAAATTCAAATACTTCAACTCCACAGACACCTCAATGAATAACCAACGGTCATAAATAGGCCAGTGTATAACAAGCGCAAATAGAGCTTTCGCCTCACTTTTAAAAGTATTGAAGTCATGAAAAATCTCTAGAAATCTCAAATTAAGGGTATAAAATGCTATTATATTGGGTTGTACGGAAAATATTGCACGATTTTGGTTTAAAAAGAAAGATTTACAACTATTTTCCTTAATCAACATAGTCTCTACTACTATCAATACATTTCTGCCAACGTTTCTATTCCCTCGGAATAGAATTTCCCATCTTTAGAATTGATAAACTCCAAAAATGCATTTTCTAATTATTTTTGTCCATTAAATTTTTAGTCACGTAAATATTAATTAACACGTAAATAGTG